AAATGCCCCTTCCCGTCGGGACTAGGGGCAAGGGGTGCCGGGGGAGCCGGCGGTGGGCGGCTGTGGGGCCACCGGCCCCGGGGAGAAAATGGCGCCGAAGGGGTTGAGGCGAAGGAGTTGGGGCGCGCCGACCGTTCCCTCGCGCCCGTCCGCCTCGTGAAGTTGGGGTTTGCAGCTGTCTGTGCTGCTATTATTATTATTGCTATTATTAATGATAATAATTTTGTCACTGCTGCACACTTTTTCGTACATGCAAGCTCACTCACCACCCCCTTCAGGTATCCGTAGCCCGCTCCTCCCCTTCTGAAATCTCCATAGCCCTGTTCATAATAATATATGAGTACAGCTAATATAAATATTAATCTGATCCTTATTGGAAGGTTTTTAGTGCTTGCTGGATATCACAAGTATGTAATCCTGGGGAGAATGACATTAGACTGGAAGTGCGGAGTGCAAAATATGATTTGAATAAAATGATAGGGTGATGTCTAATATTTCCTTTAGGGAGTACTATGCTCCGAGCTGTCACAACCGATTGTGTAAATAGACGAGACTGAGGGATGTGATCCTAATCATATTGATGAAACATTCATCTGAAAGACCGAGCGCAACCAGAAGGGACTCGCTAGGAATACAATTAAATCCTAATCTGGGGACGAGGAATCCTCTGCAGGCTTTCGTCTAACCTGCCGCCCTCTTCCCCCCATTTTCATTTCGAAGTCAAATAAAATGCAGGAGAGGAAGAGGAAATAAAGGAGAGATGGAGTGCTGGGTGGTTTGCCTGCCCGAAGGACTGGCTTAACACCAGGGAGTGCTGGGCAGGAAGGAGATAAATCTGCGGTTCTGACCCTGTAGTTAATAAAAAAATAAAGGACTAACTTTACTCACAGGGGTAACTACCTGCCTGCAGAGGGTTTTCACCTGTGAGTGGTGTTAACCAGGTGCAGGAGGACTCTGTATCTGGAGAAAGAGTCTTTCTCCCACATGGGTTTTGACCACCAGTTCAGTCCCAGACTCGTGAACAAAATTTAGTCTCTTGTCTGTTGTGTGCCATTTAGTTTACACCTGCAGGAGGGAACTGATTTCTCGATGGTAATGTATATTAGCAAAGGGGTTATCATTTTCCAGCCCCACCACCAGCTGGTTCTTGTCTGAGCCTCACTACCATGGTCTCAGACTGCCTTTCAGTAGTGTGGTGCACAGGGTGAAATAGCATTGGGCAATTTGTCTCCACTGCACGTGGTGAGAATTGCCACGGATCATGAAAGAGTTAGGTTAGTAACTGCTATGAGAGGACCAAGCTATTTTGACCATTGTCCCGCAACAGATGGTCTGAGAAGGTGGATGGGGTGTGGTTCCTTTAACGGTACTAAAACCAGGCTGGCTGCTTTCCATCACTTCTTGCTTTTGGGGAAGGTGTTGAACAGGTGCATTTTCCTAATGCCTACCACCTTTTGGCTTATACGACCTTAATGAATT